TAGTAAGGAGGAAGAGCGTCAAATCCCACCCTCAGGAGCTTTCACTCTAGCAGGGGGAGTCATCAAATGAATGTTACTGCATGATACGTGCTATGAAGAAATCATCAAAGCAGAGAACGTGAAGAGGGATGGGGAGGCTGCTGCTCTGGCTTAAAGGGCTCTCTGCTCAGGTAACATTTGCAAAGAGACCTGATTGAAGTGATGGAGAGAAATACAGATATTTGGGTGAGGAGTGGGCCGGGCAGAGGGAAAAATAAGTACCAGAGCCCTGAGCAGGAAGCACGCGGGATGAATTCAGAAACAGCAGGGAGGGCAGGGTGGCTGGTGGTAAGTGAGGGAAGCCAGTGGGAGGCAAGGTCTGGGCAGCAGCCAGCGGGCGGAGGGCGCAGGGCCTGGGAGGCCATGGTCAGGAGTTTGGATTCCTTCCGAGAGTGAGGGGAGCCATTGAAGGGTTTTGCCTTTTAAAAGGGTTCCTCTGGATTTTGATAGAGTGGAGAATGGACTGCGGGTGAGGCTGGGGAAGGGAGGCCATGGCAAGAGGGGAGTGACCCTCCCCCCATTTCGCTGGGTCCCTCTCGCCTGCCCTCCTGGACTGCCAAAGAGGCCCTCCTCCCTCAGACAAAGCAGCTCTGTCTTCTCCAAGTCTTGGTGCATGTTCAGACCCCAGGGTGAGAATCTGCCCCTTCCCCCCATCAAGGATTTTTCACAACATAGTTCCAAACAACAGCAGATCTGTTTCCTGTTAAGAAAAAAACATCCTCCACCTCCTCATTTATACACTGGGTCTCCATGGAGGTTTCATTTGAACAAAGGGTTTTACCATGAAAACAAATGTGAGCTTGCTTTTCTGCTCACTCTTCACTGTTCCAATGGATAAAGTCTAGAGAGCAGAAGTGACCTCACTAAGTTGAAAAAGGGGGTTCTACCCCCCGACCCTCGTGCCCCACACGCCAGCCCCTCAGTGGCCTGCAGTTTGGTCTTGCTACTCCAGCTGTTCCCAAAAACCAGCCTCTTCACGGGTGCCAAATAGAAATGCGAAGAGAAAGGAGGAGACAGAGTTTGGGGTGAGGCAGAAAAGAATAGCTTTTAATTGCTTTGCCAGACAAAGGGGGCCACAGTGGGCTTACATCCTCAAGACTGTGTGCCCCACCCCGGAGCGGGTAGTGAGGGGTCCTATAGAGTTCAAGGAGCAGGGCGTGGTCAGCTCGTGGACATTCTTCTGATTGGTTGGTGGTGAGGTAATCGGGAGTCAGCATCATCAACCTTCCGGTTCCAGCTGGTCTGGGGTCTACGCGCTTGTGGGCAGCCTACAGTTAACTTCTTCCACCTGGTGGGAGTTTCAGTATCTGTAAAACAGCTCAAAGGACGTGGCTCAGAATAATATCTATAGTCCTTGAGGAGGAACTAAAGGTCCTTGACTTTGATTAATGGCTAAAGTATTATTATATTGTCTTGCTCGACTGTTTTCCTTTCTTTCTGCATTTTCTCACTTCTCTGATTAAATTTATTCTCTGACTAAAGTTTTTCTACAGACAAAAGACAGGCAGAGGACATGGGTGGGGGTCTATGCTGGGAAAGCCTCCTAGGGTCCCGCTCGGTTACATGGCTGCCCAAAATGCTCCCCTCCTCTGCCCACCCAGTGCCTTCTACCCTCAAGACATTCGGCCCGTACCACCAGCTCGGCCACCCCCTGCGCCCACCACCAAGCCTGCTCTCCTCAACTCCCTTCTCTTCCCAGCCCCTCACTTTGAAAAGAATTCATGGCTCCTTTCTCTCTGGTTCTGTCCCCCACTCACGGCCTCCAGCTGTGCTTCCTCCATCACTAGTCTGGTTCTAATTACCCTGCACCATAATTTATCTGTTTACAGGGAAGTCTCCTCCACTGAAACGGGACCCATCCTAAGGCAGGAACTGTGTCGTCTCTACCTCTGAATTCCCAGGTCCTGCATCTCACCTGGCCCAGAGCAGGCGTCCCCTAGGAATGACTGTCAAATGCGTCAGCTGCAGGGAGACTCCTATGAAATGTTCCTCTTTTGACTCTTCCCACAGCTATGTCTCTCTTCTCACAGGGTTGCATACGGGTTTTCTTCAATTTCTCATTTACACTTCCTCTGAAGAAATTCTGTATTCAGAAGAATACTGGGCATAAACACAGAATTCTGTGTTGAGGTCCTCCATCCAATATTTCTTAGCTGTGTGAATTTAAGGGAAGTCACCTCATTCTTTAGAGCCTATATTTCTGCATTTATAAAACAAGAAAAAAATATCTCAAGATCAACCAAAACCCTAAAGGACAGTGTTTTTCAAATGGTAGATCTTAACCCATTGGTGGGCCATGAAATCAGTTTAACAGCTCAAGATCAGCATATTTTAAAAGTGGAATAGAAAACAAAATAGGAGAGCAGTGCATGTAACAAAGTTAAATATTGTTTTTTGTTTGTTTGTTTGTTTGTTTTGCGATATGTGGGGCTCTCACTGTTGTGGCCTCTCCCGTTGCGGAGCACAGGCTCCGGACGCGCAGGCCCAGCGGCCATGGCTCACAGGCCCAGCCGCTCCGTGGCATGTGGGATCCTCCCAGACCGGGGCACGAACCCGTGTCCCCTGCATCGGCAGGCGGACTCTCAACCACTGTGCCACCAGGGAAGCCCCAATATTGGGGGGTTTTTTTGTTTGTTTTTTGGGTGTTTTTTTTTTTTGGCCCTGCAGCTTGCAGAACCTTAGTTCTCTGACCAGGGATCGAATCTGGGGCCCTGGCAGTGGAAGCACCAAGTCCTAACCACTGGACTACCAGAGAAGTCCCAATATTGTTTCTTTAAGTAGTGCACTTAAACACTCTGTGTGTAGTGGGTCGCGATATGAAATGTTATTTCCTATTACGAATTGCAGGTTTTTAACTCAAAGGGTAAGGTTCAAATACAATTTCTTCATATACCAATGCTATTTGTTCAAAACTGTCAGGCTAGAAGTGAATTGGGACACATCTAGGGCAGTAAGTAGAGTGGCTGTGGAGACCCAGATTTGGGTAGATAAGTGTACACTGTTAATAATTATTTTAAATTGAGATATAATTGACATATAACATTATATTAGTTTCAAGTATATAGCATCATGATTTGATATATGTATATATTACAAAATGATTATATATTAATCATTTTTGAAGTCAGAAACTTACAGCGATGTACCAAGAATTCGCGGACAGAATGTTGTATTATAAAGAGACATGGGTTAAAGCTTGGGTCCAGTCCTTACTCTCTTCATGACCTACTGAGCCTCAGCTTCTTCGTCTGTATATTGGAGATAAGGAGATCAACCAATCTCTGTTGACAGGCCTGGCACGTGGTAAGTACTGGGTAAATGTTTATTCTCTTCTCCCTTGAGAATTTCACAAAACATGGTCTTCCTTTTTGGTCTCTTTCAGATGAAGATGGTGTAGGCAGCCATATCTTTTCCATCTGCAGTTAGCTTTATCTTATGGTTTAGCTCGAGTTTAGATCCTGGAGATCTTGTCAAATGCATCATAAGACTTGAAAAAGAATTTTGTGTAAGTTGGCTTGAACAACTAAAGTTAAAGTCACTTGGGAATCTGGTTTTTATTTCCTTTTATTGAGATATAATTACACGATAACTTTTTTTAAGCTCTGTTTTTGCTTTCAGTCTCCACACCTCTTACAGAATTATCAACTGCAACTTTTTATTATTTTCCTTTGTTTAGTTTATTTTTCCTTCGTTTCCTTTAATTTGTTTTCCTCCTCCTCACAAAAATAATCACTCTCCAGAACATATGACAATATAATATTCAAAGGGCTGAAATCCTTGTCCATCTGGGTTGTAGGATCAGCTATATCCAGTGCTCATATATGCTGGATAAACTATCAAAGTGGGAGTCACTCCACCAGGAAGCAGTCATTCTTGCTTTGTGTCAGGAGGAATTCATCTAAAAATAGGAGCAGATTTGATTTCCTTTGCACATCACGTGCAGTTCAAACAGTCATCTGCTCTCATGCATGATGTGTTCTGCAAATGCATTAAGACAGAGATAGTGTGATGTGCTAGTGAAAAGCACAGACTGTGTTGGAATCCAGCCACCACTACACAGAGGGCACACGTGTGTCTGGGGCAAGTTATTTATTTATTTATTTTTAAACAGGAGAAAATCAAAGTTTAATAACATGTGTACATGGGAGAGTCCCAGAAAAATTGAGTAACTCGCCAAAATGGGCAAAGCCCTCATCTTAAATGCCACCCTCAGCTAAAGACAGAAGAGGATGTTGAGGTTGAGGAGAGTCCATTCTGGGAGGTGAGCAGGAAAACACACAGTAAACAAGGGTGATTGTGATGCAGATCTAAGCATTGTCTTCTCCACGGATAAGAATCTGTAGAGAGTTGATCATAAAAATATGGAATGCTTTGGACTTCTCTGGTGGCTCAGTGGTTAAGAATCCACCGGTCAGTGCAGAGGACATGGGTTCGAGCCCTGGTCCGGGAAGATCCCACATGCCACGGAGCAACTAAGCCTGTGCACCACAGCTTCTGAGCCTGCACTCTAGAGCCCATGAGCCACAACTGCTGAAGGCCGCGCCTAGAGCCTGTGCTCCGCAACAAGAAAAGCCACCGTAATGAGAAGCCTGCACACCGCAACAAAGAGTAGCCCTTGCTCGCCGCAACTAGAGAAAGCCCGCGAGCAGCAACAAAGACCCAACGCAGCCAAAATAAATAAATAAAATAAATTTTTAAAAAATGGAATGCTTTACAAATTTGTGTCATCCTTGTGCAGTGGCCATGCTACTCTTCTATGTTTCTACAGTTTTAGTATATGTGCTGCTGAAGTGAGCACCTGTAGCAAGTTATTTTACTTCTCTCTGCTTTTGTTTTCTCATCTGAAAAAAAAGAAGGGTGGGTGGTAACCGTACCCACCTCTTAGGGTTCACTCCAGAACATGGCCTAGTGCACGGTGAGTGCCAAGGAACTGTTTCTATATGAATCAAGTGTGCACAACTAAAACAACAGAGTCTCACATTCTAAGGAGTGGCTCCATCCAGTGCAAATGAGAAAATCATAAAATTTCTAATTACCCCTCATGTTTTAGTTATACACCTAAATCATATATTCCTAGCATTCTATACATATCCTTCGATTTTGTTTTTTTCCCTCCCAATTGAATACAGTGCAGACCAACTAAAGCCCATTGCATGTCCAACTGAGGCCAGCGTCATTGATTTTAGCATCCGCAGTTCTTCTCAGCTTTGTCCCTATTGTACCAAGGCCATGAGATCTCGCACCTTTTCTCTAGTATCATCACTTTTTCATGTCCACTCATTTTATGAAAGTGTGAAGGCAAAATGGTCAACTAGCCACAACTAACCTGACACACAGGCCAAGGTAGCTTGAACTTGATGGGATCAAAAGCATTTACTGAAGGAACTTGGAAAAAAGAAATGAAGTTCCCCACTCTGGAGGGGCTCACAGCCTTATGAGGGGCAAACATAAAGGAATACATCCTCAGAGTGCGGTGAATGAGCACAGCGGATGGGCATATGGGGATTTAGCCAAGCACAGAGGAGGAAATGCACATCCCACCTGTGGCCAGGGGAGTGTGGTCACTGATGCCAGGATTGCAGAGTGAAAAGAGAGAAGCAGGCTGAGGTCCATCCAGCGCTATCACTTGTCTTGGGAAAATTACTTAGAGTCTCTGAACCATCATTGATAAAGGAACGATAAGATTCTCTTCATAAAAAAAAGATACAAATGAACTTATTTACAAAACAGAAATAGACTCACAGACATAGAAAACAAATTTATGGCTACCAAAGGGAAAAGTGGGGGAAGGATAACAGGAATTTGAGATTAAGAGATACACACTATCATAGGTAAAATAGATAAACAGCAAGAATCTACTGTATAGCGCTGGGAACGATATTCAATATCTTGTAATAACCTATAATGGAAAAGAATTTCTTTGTTGTACACCTGAAACATTATAAATAAATAAATACATACATATATTTATATATTTATTTATAAATAAATATAAAAATATATATATAAATATACATTATAAATATATATAGATATATATAAATATATATAAATATATATAAAAATTTATAAATAAATAAATATTTTTAAAAAGATCCGCTTCAAAGGGTTATTTTAGAGGATTAAATGAGATAGAAAAATATGTTCAGTAAATTGTGAGGTACATAGAAGACACAATCATTTATGGCTGGGAGCAGTGGCATAGGAGGAATAGAGACATTTTAACAGGGTAGGACGGTCAGTGGAGGGTACAAAGTGGGAAACACCTTCCTTCATTACAGGAGGAAAGTATCAGAGCAGATAGGGCTGCAAGAACCGGAGGAAGCCAGTAAGAGTCCCCAGGCAAGCCATGAATGAAGCCAAGAGCAGACCATGATATTTATAATTACTAATCTCTCCTTGCTAGGGTGGGGATAAGGGGAAAGGGGGCCAACTCCATCCTGGGGGGCAGACAATCAACAAGGAAGAGAGCTGGGGCTCCTGCCCCAAACCCCAGCTTTCTTCGTGGGGAGAGAGGAAGAGATTATCAGCTGATGGAGAATTGGTGGCATTGCGCAGGTCTCTTTAGGGAAGCTGTGAAATGTTTGGAAGAGCAACTGTTGGGAGGGGAGCGAGAGTTGTCCAGGTCCATGTTACAGGGCGACTAGAGGCACTGACTATCACGGGTTGTGTGATTTTCTCCAATAGGACAAAGAGCGGGTGGTTGTATTGGCTCAAGGCAGAAGGTTTATGAGGAAGGCTGTAAGGAGTGGGGTTGAAGTGATTCACAATGAAGTCAAGGTTATAGAGGAAGTGGAGTGAGGTCAAAGAGGGCGGGTAGTCAGTGATGACCTCCAGGATGTGGGCTCCAGGAAAAAGAAGTGTCAGTAAGATGGACCATCAGGTGGAGCAAGAGGAAGGGGAGGCTCAGTGCTTGGGGAATTTGATGGTCAATGTAGAGCAATCCTGAATGGTAAGAAGGTCTAAGGCGGTCCCTAGTGTGGAGGGGCAGATCTTTATGGTCTTGAAAGATGAGATGAGAAGCAATGCTAGGTCAAGGTAAACAAGGACCGAAGTGCTAAAGGAGGTTCTTTATATAAAGTATTTAATATTATCTCCTCAACAGCCCTTCAAGTTGGGAATTTGGGAAAAATAGAAATTCAGGCACAAATTAAGAAGACTGCCATGTCCCTTGGAGCTATTAAGATGGGAAGCTCAGCACAGAGTACTCTGCTCAATATTCTTTTTTTACTTTTTTTGGCCACGCCTCATGGCATGTGGGATCTTAGTTCCCCGAACCTGCACCCCCTGCATTGGAAGTGCGGAGTCTTAACCACTGGACCACCAGGGAAGTCCCTCTGCTCAGTATTCTGTAACAACCTAAATGGGAAAAGAATTTGAAAAAGAATAGATACATGTATATGTATAACTGAATCACTTTGCTGTACACCTGAAACTAACACAACATTTTTAATTAACTATACTCCAAAATAAAATTAAAATTTTTTAAAGTTTAAAAAAAAAGAAAATAAAGATGGGAAGCTCAGATTAAATCCAGGGCTGACTGGTTCCAAAGCCCAGGTTCTTTCCATCTCCCCAGATTTCCCCAAAGAGGTGGCACTTGGAACCTCTCTAATTCATTCTCATCATTTTTCACAGCTCTCAAGTTTGGAATCTCTGACTCTTGAGATCTTGGGGAGCCAGGTAGGTGAGACCTGGCAGGCCCTGACAGTGATAAAGCTCTCCTGAGCTCAGCGGCCCTGTCATTCCCTGTAG